TAACAACAACAACAACAATATATATACTATAAGGAAAAGAAAGAAAGAGACGAAGGTAAAGAGTCTTGGCTTCAACAGCAGGCAGGTTTATTGATTTATTGAGAGTAAACCTGGGAGGGAGTACTCTTACATCACCAAAGGAGACCAAGAGACCATCTATTCCCTTACAGACTGGGGTATTTATAGTCAGTGTGGTCTGGGTATAGTTCTGGCATTTACAATGGGCGTGGGTATGGAGATTTTCCTGAAACCTGGAATTTCAGGGGGGTGGGGAGGGTCTCCTGGTGTAACAAAGACCTAAGCTTCCCGGGAGATCCCGAAGCTCAAGCCGGCCTATTCAGTGTCTTTTGGGGTAGTTGCAATGCCATTCTGTTGATCAGGCGTAAAGTCCTTCATATACACACGCACATATTTAGCAGCATGTTGTTTTTAAGTACAGTCGAGTCAATTCTGACCCTTAGTGACCCTGTATAGGTCTTCCAAGGAGCAGCTGGTGAGCTTGAACCACTGACCTTGTATAGCGACCCTGTGTAGGGTTTCTTGAGTTGTGGCTGGTGAATTTGAACCACCGACCTTGTGGTTCAAACCAATCTTGAGGTCCAGTGCATTACCCTGCAGAGGTGCACCAGGATCATCAGCTTTTAAAGCGCTCAGCTGCCAACTGAAAGGTCAATGGTTTGAACCCACCACCTGCTCTGAGGAACAAAGCTGTGACAAGTCTTTCTTGGAAACCGTGTGAGGCAGTTCTACTCAGTCCTATGAATCAGAACTGAGTGGGCATTGGTGGGTAGTGGGTACCTTGCTTTTAAAGTGTTAGTTTATCTATCTTTGATTTTAAGCTTTGGGTAAATAATGAATTTATAGATATTCACATGGAAAAGCTGCCATGTGTCACATTAATAGCTAAGTGATTTGACTCAGTTATTGATAGAAACATCCTAAAATGTATAGTGTTTATATAAATTGATAAAAGGCTGAGGGTTATCTTTGACACTGGCCTTTGTACAATTTTTTAAAACAATAATTTACACAAAAAGAAGTGATTACGTTTGGAATAACAACTAGCATTTTTGTTGTTGTTTGAATTCTTTTCTATGGGTGAATGATGCTATGAGAGAAGAACAGCTCTTCAGTAGGAGAAAAGTATTCTGAAAGATTTCTGAGCACTAATAAAAGGAGGATTCTGCTTTGAATAAATGGAACAGTATGGAAGAACTCTAAAATTAGAATTAAGTTAGGCAAAAAGAGCAAAACAAAGGCAATAAAGCAAACTGCCCTTATTTAAAAACAAATTCCTTGTTGAAGTTGCCACATAATTCAATATAACCAATCAGTAATTGCTTATTGGGAAAATGTGATCTATTCAGAATACTAATCTTAATATTAGGAGTCCTGGTGTGGTGATGCAGGCTAATGTGCTGGACTGCAAAGTCAGTTTGAATGACAAGGCTGGTGGTTCAAGCTCACCAGCCTCTCCTCAGAAACCCTATACAGGATTGCCATGGGTTGGAACCAACTCAACGACACTTAACAACAACAACATATTAGTAGAAGGAGCTGTAGTAACATAGTGTGTTATGTGTTGGGCTGTAACTACAAGGTCAACAGTTTGAATCTACCTGCTGCTCCTTGGGGAAAAGATGAGGTTTTCTGCTCCCATGAAGATTTACAGCCTCAGAAACCCTATAGAGTCGTGATGAATTGGAATCAACTGGACATCACACGACCACCACCACCAAGTTAGCAGGGTGGTGGTTACTGTATGTTAGGATCCATAAAAGGAACATGTAGAACAATGGCTTTAACATGATGGTGTTGTTAAGTGCCAACTCAAAGTGACCCTATATAGCGTTTCTGAGGAGCGGCTGATGAGTTTGAACTGCCAAACTTGAAGTTCAAAGTGACCTTGCAGCACATTTACCCACAGCACCACACCAGGACTCCTGACATACAGTAGGCCCTCCTCTTCACTTCTTAGCTAACAGTCTTCACTGTTACTCTACCCTTCATCTAGAGCTCCACCTTTCTTGTTTGTTTTTCCCTCCCTTTGGCTCTTCCTCCACTCAGCTCTCCTTTACACAAAGAGGCTTAAAAAAAGTTCATCGAAAAATTGAGTGAAAAGATAATGGAATTTCCCCCACAAACTTTTTGAAGCCCCCTGAAGAAAACGGTGTGGATAAAGGACCCTCTTTATGTTCTGAGATCTCCGTCACTATATTGTCTTCTTTCTCCTATTCCTTTCACAGCCAACTTTCAATAGGTAGTTGATGTTACCACTTTAAGATTTTTGTATTAGAATATATGTTTCTACTGAGCAGGGAATATTTTCCGGTTATCTTTTTATATCAGTGCCTGTTGTAATGTCTTGTGGACAATCACTAGGCAATCAATAAAAAGACATTGAAATGAGCTGAGTATTCTTTGATTAAGAGAAGGTAATGGAAAAAAAGTGTTCTGATCTCTGACTATTAATTTTTAACATGAAGTATGAATATTATAAGCATGTGTGGTCTGCAACGCCCTCCAGGGGTCTTTTTTGGTTCTTTCCTAACTATCAAGGCTTCAGTGTGACCTCTGTTTTTGCTAAAACTATGCTTCTAAATCTGACTCTTGCAGGTGAAGGAATGCCTCCTGGAAATCACGGGCACTATGGCTACTCTAACAGTGGATACAGTGCCTGTGAAGAAGAAAATGAGAGATTGGCTGAAAGTCTGAGGAACAAAGTAACTGCTATAAAATCTGTATGTATACAACAGATACTACTTTTATATATAATATTACATATATAATATATAACATATGTATATACTATCCTTGCAAAGTAACTAAGTAATTATAGTTCATGATACTAAGTAACTCTGTTATCTACATACTACAGTTTAGTCAAAATACACTCAAACATTAAGAACATGATTTGAGCTGAAGATTAGAAAATGTGGTCAAAATGTATGTGAGATTTGTTCATTTTTTTGTACATGGTGAAATCTAAAATACTCTGTGTTGATTACAGTAATGAGCCATCTGCTTCCACCCTCCAATAGCCCTTCTTCTGACATTTTCTTCTTTCAGTCTCCTAAACTTCAAACCTAAGCCTTTTATCTTGCTGCTTTGTACCTCAACTCACCATCTTGTAATTCATTGTTTGCAATGTTTCTATTATTATCCCCTTACTGATTTTCTTAGGTGGGCTATTGGAACAGTCTCATCTTACCTGTTCCCAGTTGTTTTCCTAATTGGAAGGAGCTACATATTGTCACCACAGTAATCTTAATAGAGTATCATTTAAATCATATCACTGTAGCTCATGTGATGGGGAAGGCAATAAACAAGAAGTAGGAAGGCAATGTATAAGAAGAGGGAGGGTGGCAGAAGAACAATGAAGCTGGATGAAGACACCAGGGCTAAAGGGAATAGAGGTAAACTGTGTTTTGTGTGTAATTACATGGATTGAAATATAGGCTGAATGGGTAGGAGAGGAAGAGTGAGATATATATATAATTTATGTATCCCATAAATATTTAAGGGTATGAAAGAGAAAATTTCATACTATGAATGTGGTAGAGCATACAGTGGGCAAAAGGATGAAAACTTACTAGATACTGTCAAACATCTTAAGGCAGTGAGTTAAGGGGCCTGGGGCTCAGGACCATAGTCTCAGAGGACACCGTGGTCAATTGGCATAACATCATCCACAAAGACAGTGTTCTACATCCTGCTTGGGTGAGTAGCGTCCGGGATCTTGAAAGCTCATGAGCAACCATCTAAGGTGCAGCTATTGGTCTCAGTTGGTACAGTGGACTACTGGAACATGTGAACCTCAGTCTCCATGTTTGTGAGACCAGAAGTACTAGATGGTACCTGGATACCGTTACCAGCTGTCCTGAAAGGGATCACATCCTAGATAGACTGGGAGAAAATGTGCAACAAAACTCAGAATTACTTTTTTAAAAAGTAAAAGACCAGATTTACTGGTCAGAGAGGGACCTGAGGCCCTCAACCACCTTCATGTCTGGAAAGGAACTTATCCTCATGGTCCACTTTCCAGCCAAGCAATAAATATGTTTATAGAGGGGATAGCAACACTAACTAACAAGGTACGGTCAGTCATTCAAAATCAAAAGATAACATTTTCTCAAGGACAGAGTTGAGAAAGGATATGCAGGTGCATGAAACGCAAATAGGAATCACAGGGAAGAAGTTGTTGCATGGAGAGGATTGTAATCATTGAGATTAAACAAAATGTATGATATGTTGAATACAAAGCTGATCATCTGGTCTATAAACATTTGCTCAATTCACAATAAAAAGTCGAATAAATAAATAAATAAATTGTGCCACTGAACTCCCAGAAGTCTTCAGTGTTCTCTCACGATCTTAAAGTTCATACTCTGGAGCCGGACCTAACAGGTTCTTCAAAGACTGGGCCAGCTCTTTAGGACTGTGCATATTATTCCTGCCAGACAACTAGAGTATTCTGTGCTCTGTGTACCATTGTCACGTTCCCACCCATAGCTTTGACTGTACTATCCCTTTGCTGTAGGTATCTTCTCTTTGCTTACAGTGACTACAGTCTTGCTCATCTTAAAAGGCCTCTTGTCATTGCACCTCTTCCCTCTAAGCTTTATTTGATCACCATGTCTTAATGTACCTTTTTCCATTATGAACATGAGACCATTTCTGTCATTGCTATAGCACTTAATACATAGTGATTTGCATTGAAATTATTTACATAGAAATTTATCAGATTATAGTGTTTTCTACTGTGCTTAGTTTTATATTCTACAGTAACATAAATTCCTTATTAGTGATACTGACTTAGTAAATAGGTATTGAATACATGAATTAAGAAAAGATGATTTTAACAGTTTATGTGATTGCTTCTACATCATGTTAAACATGCAATAGCAGTCCACACTGCCAAAGCTTAATTGGTATTTCATCATAGTCTTTGGAAAATTGAATTGTATTGAGCCGGGAGACTTAACATTTTGAGACAGGATTGTTTCCACCGTTGTATCAAGTCATAAGGAGGTGATCGATGAACTAAGCAATATTAGATAATGTTAATACTCTAGAAAATAAAACATTTAGAGAAACTTAATATTTCAAAGCTTTATTCTTTTTCTAAAACTCAAACATTGTCAATTTACACTTCTTGTCAAAAGAAAACTGTGACTCCTTACAATTTCTTCACTGGCTGTGAATGACAATATAGAAGTTCCTAGGATGATACATGTTTTCTATTTATAATTACTTTAGTATCTCTGAATTGTTAAGTTCAGGGAAAAACTTATGTTTTGGTCTACTCCCATTTTGTGTCATTTTATCACATGTGCTTTGCACATAAACTAAGTTAAAAATAGCCTTTGGGAAAATTTTCAATGATTTGCCAAGAATTTCAATATTTGATTATATTTATTCAAAGATCTTAGAAGTGAAGCCTTGATGACTTTGTCAGGTGAAGCATTAGATTGATTTTGAATCGTTGTTGTTGTTAGCTGCCATCCAGTCAATTTTGACTCAGAGCGATCCAGTGTCCAGCACTCGAGCCACTGCCTGGCCCTCAGCCCTCAGCACAGTTGCTGCTGTGTTTGATTGAGCCCATGGTTACAGCTCTTGTTACTATAGAATTGTTTTTCTTAGACTCAGCCTCCTTTCTGCTAGCCTTATATATGGATAGCACTAACATGTAAATTTAGTTAAAATTTACTAACATACTTTAAAGAAAAATATTATCACTTTTGAAAGCTAAAGAAATAATCCATTTAGTCATATATGCAAAGTAATGTGACATTTCATTAGGAAAATAATACTTTTCTTTGAATTTCAATTGCTCATATGGATACATGCATGCCCTTTAAATTGTAAAGAAGGAAAAGTAAAGATAAATGCTTTGTAAGAATAAAATATAGAAAAATGCTTTCAAGGATAAGAGAATCAGAGGTAAATGTATGTGTGTGTTGTTGTTGTTAAGTGCTATTAAGCTGGTTCCAACTCATAGCAACCCTGTATAGGGTTTCCACGGCTTTAAATCTTCATGGGAGTGGAAAACCTCACCTTCTCCTGTGGAGTGGATGGCTAGCTCGAACTGTGGACCTTGTAGTTTGCAGTCCAGTGCTTATCATATGGAGCTACTATGTGTGTGTTTTGTGTGTGTGTAGGGGCTTTAAAAAGTTAGTGGGAAAATTTATTCCATTGTTCCACTAACTTTTTAAAGCTTCCTCATTTATGCTAAAATTGAAAGACTGAATTGAATATTAAGATGAAATCAGCTTAACGAACAGAGAGAAGATGTCCACAGCTGGGGATGAATATATACTATAAATTTATTTGTCTTTAAATTTACTAGAAAATGTATCAGAATAGATTATGTTTTATATTTCTAACATCCAGTTTCTTTTGAGAAGATGCATATGAGTCCTGGTGTGACACTGTAGAATAAGTACTGAACTGATAACCACAGTTTGAGTGGTTCAAACCCACCAGCTGCTTCTTGGAAACCCTACACAGGGTCGCCATGAGTGGGAACCTACTGGATGGCACTTAACAACAACACAATATGCTTAGAATGTAATTAACTTTTGGTTTATAAAATTTAAATGCCTTTATGTAAGTATTAAGGAATATGCTTTTCTCTTTGTAGCTTTCCATAGAAATAGGCCATGAAGTTAAACAACATAACCAGTTATTAGCTGAGATGGTAAGTTTATTTTTTATTTTAACTTTCAGAAGTTTGAGGTGATATTCTCAGATTTAGTCTATTAATGAGGAGTCATATAATTTTCACATTTGTCTACTTTTAAATAGATTTGAAATACCATAGCCTGGTCATTAAAAGATTTGTTGCTGTCACTTAAAATTATCTTCTAGTAGAAATATTCTGGAATGTTTCTGAAAATAAACCACTAAATTGAAAATTTAAAACTCTTATCTTATTGGGCTCAAATATTTATACCACTCTAATTACTTTCCTGGTGTGGTGCTGTAGATTAATGCGCTGGACTGCAAAGTCGGTTTGAACTGCAAGGTTGTCAGTTCAAGCTCACTGGTGACTTCTTGGAAACCCTATATAGGGTTGCTATGAGTCGGAACTGACTCAATAGCACTTAACAACAACAACAATTAGAATCAGAGAAAAAATGATGTTGAAAGCATACTTAGAGATGTTACCTCTTAGCTTCCCATCCATTTATATATAAGCAACTTGGATGACATTGTTATAACTTTGCAAAGAATGGGAACTCCAGAACACTTCGTTGTATTCTTGAAGAAATTGTGTATAGATCAAGAGGTAGTCATTCAAGCAGAACAAGGGGTTACTGAGTAGTTTAAAATCAGGAAAGATATGTACCAGGGTTGCGTAATTTCACTATACCTTTTCAGTCTGTATGCTGAGCATATAACTCAAGAAGCTGGAGTATCTGAAGAAGAAAGCAGTATCAGAATTGGACAAAGGCTCATTAATAACCTGTGATATGCAGATGGCACAGCCTTCCTTGCTGTACGTGAAGAGGACTTGAAGTCCTTTCTGATGAAGGTCAAAAACTGCAACTTTCAGTTTGGATTTCAACTTAATGTAAAGAAAAAAAAAATCATTATAACTGAACCACTAAACACCATCACGACAAACAGAAAAAATTGAAGTTGTCAAAGACTGCATTTTACTTGAGTGCACAACCAAAGCTCATGGAAGTGGCAGTCAAGAAATCAAATGATGGTGGCATTGGGCAAATCGGCCTCAAAAGACCTCTTTAAAGTGATAAAGAGCAAGCATGTCACTTTGAGGATTAAGATGCACTTGATGCAAGCCATGGTATATTCAGTCACCTCATAGGCATGTGACAGTTAGACACTGAATAAGGGAAACCAAAGAATTGATACCTTTGAATTATGGTGCTGGTGAAGAATACTGAAAGTACCATAGACTACCAGAAGAACAAACAAATCTGTTTTGAAAGAAGGTTAGCCAGAATGCTCCTTAGAAGCCAGGATGACAAGACTTCATCTCATGTCCTTTGGCTATTTATTTCTAGTCCCTGGAGAAGGGCATCATGCTTAGTGGAGGGTCAGCAAAACAGAAGAAGATTCAATGGATGGATTGATCCCATAGCTGCAGTAATGAACTCGAGCATAGCGGTGATTGTCAAGACAGTAAAGTACTGGACAGTGTTTCACTCTTTTGTTAATAAGGTCTCTAGGACTCAACAGCACCTAACAACAACAACAATAAAGTGTTTTTTGCACATTTCCTAAAACAAAAAAGTGGGAGAATAAGGTGGAAGTCAAAATAGCTTTAGTCTTTTGTTTAGAAACAACATTAAAGACTCAGGACAAATGCTGATTTTTGGAAGTTCTTGTTGTATTGTTGTTTAGGACCATCAAGTGGGTCCTAACTCATAACAATCCTGTATAGGGTTTCTGAGGAGCACCTGGTGGATTTGAACCATTGACTGTTAACCATTGCAGTTAGCAGTAATTTATTAACCAAAGACTAGCAGTAATTTATTAACCAAATAAACAAAAGCACTTTATATACAACCAACCAAATGATTTTCACATAAAATAAAGGTTTTTTTTTGTGGTCTTTTTTTTTTTGTAGCGTAGTGGTTCCGAATCGGGCTGCGAACCGTAAGGTCAGCAGTCCAAAACTACCAGCCGCTCCGCGGGAGAAAGATGAGGCTTTCTACTCCCGTAAGGATTTACACCCTCGGAAACCCTGTACAGGGTCGCTATGGGTCGGAACCGACTCGACGGCACTTAACAACAACAACAACAATCTCTTAAAAATCACTTCTGAACAAATCCTATAATGCCTTAACCCTCTGCCTTTCTTGGTTAGAGCCACCATCCATGCTGATTTTGGTGTCCAGTTTCTTTGGACTATCCTAGTTTCTCCACATGCTTTAAAAATGTATTATTCAGAAATGGACCCCACCCAAATAAAAAACTAACAACAACAAATATTGTGTATTAGAATCACCTGGAAAAAATTTTGAACATATTTGCACCTGGATCACTGAAAATATACTGACTCAGAAATTCAGGGAAAATGAAATAGGCATATATGTTTTGAAGCCAAAGAAATGCATGCTGAGTGATTTTGATATATAACTCTGGTGAAGAACCATAGGTGTAAACGCACATGAGCTACATAGAACCGAGCTATGCAAGCTTGTTATGCAGTGGGGCATTTACTCAGGATACTGTTAATCCATGTCATTTGGTTTCATTTTGAGGACTTTTCCAGCTATGTTTTAATCTGACAGTTTTTTCCCATTTGTATGTGGTCTCTACTATAATTTGCTCTACCTTTACATAAAGCTTTTAGAAGGTGCTGCAATGCTAAAAGTCAGTCATCTAAACAAAATGATCTTATAAGTAAAGGCCCATTCAACTGATAAAACATTAAATTTTGGATGAACTGCTGTAGTAGGAAGTCATGCCCAAATAAAAAGTGGGGAAAGGCTTGGTATATGAGAGTGGGGGCACTACTTACCTTTATTGATAAGGGTTTATAATCCACATGATTAGAATGAACCTCAGTTGGGTTTGAGTTTTTTAATTACTCTGTGGCATTGGGGGAAAAAAAATGTATATTGAATAATGAAAGAGCTTTGTATTCATTGAAAGAATTGTCATATTTTTTATGTAATAATCAGACTGATCATTCAGAGTTCTAATGAACTGATTAAATATAAAACTTGTTACTAAAAGTACTTTTATAACTGAATGTATTTGTTTATTTGAACATTCTGAGATTATTTGAATGTGCATATTTAGAATATCAGAATCTAACTGTTAAATTTTATTTTTCCCTCATAGGATTCACAGTTTGATTCTACAACTGGATTTCTAGGTAGAACTATGGGCAAACTGAAGATTTTATCCAGAGGGAGCCAAACCAGGCTGTTGTGCTATATGATGCTATTTTCATTCTTTGTTTTTTTTGTCATTTATTGGATCATTAAACTAAGGTGATAAAAGTTAGTGTGAATTTAGAATTTGTTCTAACTTACTGGGTTAGCGGAGTACTGCTTTGGTACAAATCAGCATCAAAACGTTTCTCATTTTCAAGTTTGACTTTTTCCATTGACGATTACTGAATCCAGGATTCTTCACTTGTTTTATAAATCACACTAAAGAATACACTGCTCTTTGAATACTATTTCTTAATGACTAATCTTTGCCCCTATTTTCAGGGGTGTTGAGATGGCTTGTAGTTAGTTTGACCCTACTAGATTTTTCTTATTGTTTGTCTAAACATTAAATATTGAAAATACTCTGTTAGTACTATAAATGTAAGTTTGAGTTCCATATGTAAAGAAATTTGAGTCGAACAGTAACAGAATGTGTGGAGAACTGAGGCTGAGTTGTGATGATGGGGAGCAGATTGAAGGTGGTGGTGTTGGGGGTGTGCTACCAAGTCAGTTATGACTCATAGCCACCCTGTACAGGGTTTCCAAAGCCCCATCTTGTTCCTGTGGAAGGACTGGTGCATTCGACTTACTGGCCTTACTGTTAGCAGCCCAGTTTGTAATCCACTGTGCTACCAGGGACCCTTAGATTGAAGGTAGCGTGGCTAATGTGTTTTCCTAAAGTATCACCAGCTTTAACGGTGTGCTCCCCTTCCCTCCTTTCTTTGTTAAAATTGTAGGTGGATGTCTTACCTATAATCCTCATAATAATTTTTCATGATGTAGCTCTTCTTTCTTTCCGTTGTGCCCAGGACTTCATTCTTTACTAAAGCTTGTTGTCATATTCCTAGTAAGGCTTAATACAAATGTGTACCAGCATAGTTATTGTTTTATATTAGCTTTATAAATTCCAGTGACTTGATTTATAATGTTTTGTGACATCAGCTATTTAAGGGGGCCATTTGGTTATCATTTACAACAAAGTAATATGAAGCTAAGAAATTTCTAAGTTCTGAATGAAAATAAATTGTTCAAGAAAAGTAATTGTCTCTGCTTTATTATGTGCTCAACATATATAATGAAAGTACCAAGGCCCAGATCTTGAAGTTAAGAGTGTTGTTGCTTTAAGCCACTATATTTGTTTATGGAAAACAAAGCATTCATGGTTTGTGAAATTAGATATATTAAAATTTTGTTAAATAATCTGTATTCCTACTATTTTGGAAGTGACCCATTTATAAGCTCAAAAAATAAATTTTTTAATGAAATTTATTAATAGACTATTACTTGTTTTGTTAAACCTCTTATTTCTGATAAAATTCAGCATTCTTTTATCATTATGATAAATGTAATCATTATCTTTTATCAACTCTGAAGAAAAAAAAAATCCTCCAAAATCTTTCCATAATAAGAATGCTGAATTTTGTTTCTAAGCAAATTTCGCATTTATTTTTGTTATGTGAGGAGACTTTAAAAGCTTATGAGCAAATGAAATGAAAAGATAATGGAATTTTTTCCACAAACTTTTGAAGCCCCCGCAATATGTTTATATCCAATGGTATGAGGGTAAACTGACTGAGAGGAAAAAATCTCAGATTTATAGTGCTTGCTGACTAACATGTTTAAAGACTCACCACTGTTGGTTTTGATCTACCAATATGACATCATTGAACACAGAGTTGGGAGAATATATGCACAGTTCATTCTTACAAGCTGACATGAGCTAGTTCCAGTACACCACTGGATATATTGATGGTGCATTTTCTGTCAAAAGATGCATAAGTTATTTGTTTCTCAAATGATAATCTCTTAAATTTTAATAGAAAAAGATCAGGCAACATGAAGTTAATTGATAAATTAATTTGATATAATTTTTTTTGATGACTGTACTCTTAGAAGCTCATTTGTATGTGTATTTTACAAATGTCAGTTTTCTTTCGTATAGTAAACATTTGCTACGTTTATTGACATCCCTTCTCCCGGTAGTTTAATTTTATGTGCCGTGGAGTCGGTTCCGACTCATAGTGACCCTGTACAGGGTTTCCGAGGCTGTAAATCTTTATGGGAGCAGAAAGCCTCATCTTTCTCCCATGGAACAGCTGGTAGTTTCGAACTGCTGACCCTGAGGTTCACAGCCCTATTCGCAACCACTATGCTACCTGTATGTACATAAATCATATGCACAGAAAGTAGATGTGTATTCCGATTTCCTCTCTGCTTTTCCATCCAGCAAAATGTCCAAGCAGGAGTGCAGGGTCATCCCATACATTTTGTATCCTGGTGCCTCTGTACACATACTGGCATCTGTAGTTTATCTTCGCCCAGAAATTCAATGGACTGAGAAAAGTGTGTGCTTTTATCAAAGAATGTTTCACAAACTTTTGAAGGAATATCATAGACTTAGGAGATTTGTAAATGGCCAAGTCCATATCATAAAAGCAATTCTTCCTTTTTAAAGCAGTGAATCATAAAATAGAAATATACAGAATGTCTTTAATAAGAAATTAATCCCTATTCTATGGAAACTCTTAAAGTCCACACAGCTTAAAATTAATCATTTATACTTAAGGGAAAATGCAAATTGTAACAACATTGTCTACTGCAGTGTACCTATTCTACAGTCTTTATGATACTTCACAAGAAAAATTAATGTTTAATAATTCAACTTTGCTAACTTTAAGAAACAGCAGTAGTATTGTACAATAGAAAATTGTTCCTAGTATTCACTTTCAAGAAATGATATAGTGTGACTCACATGAAAACAGGTAGCTGAATCTGAGGTCAGTGGTACTATGGATTCTTTGTTTGAGTTTGAATCTATCAGTCCTGGTGTGGCACTGTGGGTTAATGCGCTGGGCTGCAAAGTCATTAGAACTGCAAGGTCAGTGGTTCAAGCTCACCAATTGCTCCTCAGAAACCCTATACAGGATCACTATGGGTTGGAACTGACTCGATGACACTTCATGATAACAACAATGACTTCTCTGATTGCTACCGTGAATTTGGAAATAAGCAGAAAAAACAAAGCTCTTAGCATAATTGAAAGTCCAGATAAAACATATTAATGTACAATTAAAAACGTTTTCAAGTCATTAGTTTATATTTTAAAAGAATACTTATAGTTATTCTTTCCTCCTTGACTTTCCTCCTAATCTCAATAAATAAGAAGATATGGTGGTGATTGGTGTGATTATGTGCCATGGAGTCGCTTCTGACTCAGTCACCCTGTGTAGGATTTCTGAGGCTGTGCAGAACAGAAAGCTTTTTCTTTCAGAGCAGCTGATAGACAGACTCAAACTGCTGACCATGTGGTTAGCAACCCAGCTCCTTGATAAGATACTGTTGTTTGTGTTAAATGCCGCCAAATCAGTATAGCAGCCCTGTATAGGGTTTCCAAGGAGCGACTGGTGAATTTGAACAGCTGACCTTGTGGATTAAACCGACCTTGCAGTCTAGTGCTTATTCTACAGTGCTATACCAGGACTCTTATTAAAATACTGTTGTTAAATGCCGTTCAGTCAGTTCCCACTCAACAACCCTGTATAGGGTTTCCAAGGATTTCCAAGGTGAGCTTGAACCTCCCACATCGAGGTTCAAACGTACCTTCCAGTCCAGCGCATTAACCCACAGCGCCACATCAGGACTCCAATGGAGCTATCTTTAATACCTTGTGAAAATCCAAACTATTTTTAGTCTCTTGATCTCTCAATTTGATTTTTAAAAATTGGTGGAAAATTTGACTAGAAAGTGTGCTAGACATAAAGAACCTTGTGTAATTTCACTGAACCTGACATTTTCTTTTGTCCGATTTTCTTTATGACCTGATTTTCTAGGGGATAACATGTATTCATTTAACTAAGTTCATTCCTGAATATTCATAGAAGAATTTTCTTTTCCTATTTGTGTCCTATTTCACAGTGTTCTGATTTCAATTCCCGTTAGGTCTTTACACATACAGTCTGGGGGCTGTTACATAGCCCATCGTGCTATGTAACATCGATCTATAGCAAGAACATTCACAAAGGAAAGAATGACAGGTTGCAACTCTATTATGCTTCCTTTTTTAACGTCTATGGAAGTGGCCAGTATATGAAGACAAGGCATTCTCCAGTGAAAGGGGTGCCAGATGTCAGGTAAGCTCTTCAGTCAAGGTTCACCTCTCTTGGCAGATAAATAGGACTGACAATGTTGGTCTATTGCAGATTGCTCTTCTCAGCCATTGTAGTATCCGGGCCTAGGTAGAAGTGCCAGGGATGACAGTACCAGATACACTACAGTGACAGCCTCCAGAGTAACAGGTGGCATTTTGTCTAACACACTCCCATTAGTGCCACTGAAGTCTATGCAGCAACTTCCGATTAGGCGTTTGTCCAAACTCGGCATCTAAACATTCTCAGTTAACACACTGAAGCCACATTAGATCATCCTAAAAAGCAGTAAATGTACTTTCTAAGAGACACTGAGGGTTCTTGTCTAACTGTCCTTAATATAAACAGACTTCCGAATATAAGAAAAAATACTATTATGATGTAATGGTGTTACTCGGGCTTATTGTAATTTAATTAAAGGAAATCAAATGACTCATACATATTTGCAACTTTAACTTGAAAAAAGAGAAAAGAGCTTGTGTCTTGTGAGATGAGTTAATTTGTTAAGAAGAAATATTTCTAACTTGTCTTGATGCTATATAAACAATTATCTGTGCAGACAATATTACAATGACTGTATTCAAACTCTGATTTCATTGAATCAATCATTTGTAGTTCAGATATTCCTTCTCTTTTAGGGAGCAATGGGCTTCATTGTTAACTAGGTTGCGTACCTGTTGGGAATATGATAGTCGTCATGTCCTTAGTCCACCCAACGGTGTCATTTTCCTTATGAGTCATAATTAGTAGCTTATTAAATATATGCTTATGCTAATTCAAAGGAGCTCTGGTAGCGTAGTGGTTACGAATCGAGCTGTGAACTTCAAGGTCAGCAGTTCGAAACTACCAGTGGTTCCGCGGGAGAAAGATGACACGTTCTGCTCCCGTAAAGATTTACAGCCTCGGAAACCCTGTG